AAAAAAAAAAAAAAAAAAAGGAAAACCCAGGAATTGACTCTGCAGCCCTGGATTCTAGATGGAGACTAGGCAGGCCTCAGTCCAGCCAGTGGCTGAGTCCATGAGGGTAGAAGCCCTGTGAGAGCTTCCGACTAGGATACTGGTGCTGCCGAGGGCTGCCACCCAAACCCCCAGGCTGGCCAGAATAGATCCAGGTCTTGAATCATGCATGCCGGGGCAACCTCTACAAGTCTTTAGCACCAGCGAAGGGGGAGGTAGGACAACTGAGCGTCCCAGGGTACTCTACCTCCAGAGGCCCAAGGCCTAGCTATCCCTAGCTAAGCTGGTTACAGGGACATACTCTCCTGCCACAGGCTAGACTCTAAGGCTTGAATCCTATAATGGCCACCAATATGGTCATATGGCCATGTTCATGCATGTACAGAGGCAAAAGACAGATACCTAAAGAGTGACAGGAAAAAAAAAAAGGATTAAACATACAGAAAGAGGGGAAGAAATGGGAAAACAGAGTGGAAGCTGCAAACTTGTACTCGGGGCTTGCTTGCTTATTTATTTGTTGTGGGGTACAGGTGAGAGTTAACTACATAAAGTAGAGTGCATGTAGGTGAAGTCTGGGCTTCCAACTGGCCCTCATTCCCTCTGGTAGTGGACCAGGTACCCTTTGTGTTATGTCTCATGCCCCTCAACCCTAAGTGCTTTATATATGCAAACTAAACAAGCTTATGAGGTGAGCATAGGTATTTGCACAGTACTGATAGGACACCCAGACACAGAGGAGGGCCAGTAATTGGCATAAGTCACCTCACTAGCTAGTAGGAAAGCTGGGATTCGAACCCAGCATTGTGTCCGTGCTCTTACCAGTAAGCCAGAGATAAGTGAGCTCAGCACAGATCAACAGAGAATGAGAGCAAGAAAGACACCCAATCAGGTGTCTTTTGGTGGTTCCTCGTCCCACCACTTGGACAAATCATGATCATTCCCAAGGGCCCCCAGACTAGGGCTCCCCAGAGCAGGATGTGGCCTGCTTCTCTGGCCTGCAGCCCAGCTGGGCTGCCAGGGACAGGTCAGACAGGTCTGGCTGGTGCAGAAGGATGAGGTTCTGCAGCTTCCCCGTGCTCACCTCCCCAGGGACCACAGCTGCTGAGCCTATGGCTGGACCTCCACCAGTCACATCTCCTTCCCCTGCCCCCACTAGGTGGGTGACTTCAACCTTGGATTGAAGCTCAGTATGAGTACATGAAAAAGAAGGTGCCCTCGCCCACCTCAAGCAGATCACCCATGTCAGAAGACCTTGCTGCCACTCTCCACTGCCATCCCAGGCAACCAATGGAGAGGAATGGGTTAATCCAGAGGAAAAACTGCTCCATCTGCCCAGCCAACTTCTCAGCTGGATTCCTGCCTCCAAGTTGACTTTTGCCTGGAAGGAGGCCCAATGTGCTGTGTGCCCCTACTTCTACCCCTCAACACAGCCTCAGTGTCCTCACTGCCTCTGCAGGGCCGTTCTCACCCCTCTCCCCACCGCCTCCTGAGGGTGTACCCGAGCTCCCCATCCCACAAATGCAGACCACATTGTTAAAAATAGAGCCTCTTTATTGGTACCTGTAAGCTCAGGTACAAGGTGTTCCCACAAGCACACAGGCTGGCAAGGCCTCCTAGGCAAGGGGGCAGACCCAGAGCCTGCATTTCTTGGCACAGAAACAGAAATGGAATAAATTACAGTTCTGACACTCAGAGACAATATAGAAATTATAATGCAAAATTCATCATCAGCAAACAAAGGGCATAAAAGCCCAACAGAGCCACCTCTGGCCAAGTGGCCTCAGGGTACGGGCAGGTGGGCCAGGCTGGAGTGCAGTGCCTACGAAGCCCTGAGATAGTAGTCTGGGGCAGGCTCTGAGCCCCAAGGTAAGCCTCTTGCCCTCCCTGGGCTTTATTTCATCCCCCCCTACATGGATGGACCTTGAATAAAGGCTGTGTGTGGCCTTTGGGAACAGGAAACATGGGACAAAAAACAGGAAGTAGAGGGGGCCAGGTTGGGCAAAAAAGGAGTTTTGGTCACAGCTGGTCAGCCCAGCCTTCCCCTTACCCCCAGACGATGTCCTTGGCCAGTCCTTGCCTGCTTAGCCATCCAGGGTCCAGGCACCTGGCACAGTAGATCATATCTGGTCTACACCAAAGCCCAGGCAGGGCAGAGTGTAAGACTACAAGGCAAAAGGGATTCACAAGGGCTTGTGCCCACCCTGCCCCCAACACTGCCTACCAGCCAGGGAGGATCAGCCGAAACCTCCTCGGTCTCCAAATAAATTATGGAAATAAATTACAGTTTTCACAGTCCAAAGGATTAGCCACCTGATTCCAGCCCTGTCTCACCGACTACAGGCTAAGGAACATCACATAAAGACCCAAAAGTGGTCTGCCAGGCTCCAGGGGAGCCACAGCCACATTCTGCTCTTCCAGGCCCGCAACATGGAGGTGAAAGAGCAATCTGTGGGTGTGGGTGCTGGGCAGCGGAAAGGGGAAACCCCCCCACTTCGGCTCAAAAAGTTTTTTGAAAAATAAATAAATAAAATCCAGAGTGTGGCATGAAAACCTGGAGTGTGTGCCTGGCACCTGTGGGTCAGCCAGCCGATGGGAGACTGTTACCTACAGACCGTGGGGAGCCCCGAAATTACAAAAAAGCAGCAACAGGGCTCTTGGGGCTGGGAAAAGATCCCAGTCCTCACACAGGCACAGGCTCCATCAGAGATGCGGGGGCAGTGTCTTCAAAATGACTGTCAACGAGGGGAGCTAGGACTTCGGCAGCTGGCTCTGACAAGCCCATGAGGGATTCCAGGAAGCAAGTGCCTGCATCCCCAGGTGGAGAGAGCCCAGGCCAGGGGAAGTGGAGTGCCTCAAAGTTGTCCAGGCTGTCGGACACCTTCTGGGAGGTGTAGTGAGGCCCCAGACTGTAGTCTGGCAGAGCCTGGAGCAACTCAAAGGAGTCACAGGAAGACAAGCTGAGATCCACGGAGCTGCTCTGGCCAACATCCACACTGGGCAGCAATGAGGTGCCAGAGAGGCTGCCTTCTCTTGACCCTTCAAGGCCACCATTTAGGAAGCAGCTGGCGTCCAGGTTGGCGTTTTCATCCAGGATGCCTGACGTGAGGCTAGAGCCAGAATAGCTGTGGGTCCAGCTGGCCAGGCCACCAGGGTCACTAGTACCAAAGATGTCAGCTGGATGGAAGCAGCTGAGGTTGTCCAGGTTCCCAACACCACTTTCCTCCTCCTCCTCCTCCTCCCCGCCCAGGTCAGAGTCACTGAAACTCAGGATCCGTGCCAGGCTGTCATCATCCACACCAGGCTGGAAGCCAGGGCCAGGCAGGCTCGGGTGGGTGGAGCAGTCAGGGGCCTCGCTAGTGCCCGATGCCGAGGAAGATGCTGTAGAGGAATCGGTCATGTCACTGCTGCAGCTGTTGTCTCCTAGCTCACTGCTCCCAGGGGGCTTGGCCAGTGGGAAAGTGGGGACCAAGGCCTGCTCACCAGGGCTGGGCGGGCTGCCCTGGACGGGTGTCTCCAGATCCCCCAGGCTCTCGGCCCCCTGCTCCAGCTGCAGGCGAGTGATTGTATGGATGAAGTGGGTCTGAACTCGTGCCTGATTAAATTCCACACGGCCATTGGGGTTCTCACAGCCCTCCTTGCAGCAACCACAGGGGAACGCTGTGTGGTCCATCTACAGAGAAAGTAGAGGCACGAGTGAGGATTCTGGGCAGTGCAAAGTTCCCAGGCTAAGGCTCCCCCTCCCAGCCTGGTCCAACCACCGCACCTGGCACTTGATGCCCGCCAGGCTGCAGCTGCAGGTCTCAGGATCACAGACCCTATCGCAGTGACAGCCACAATCTTCCCGGGATTGGCGCAGTGCCTGCAGCTCCCGCTTCTCCTCCCGATCGATCCTTCGTACACCTGCAGCTCGCAGCAGAGCCCGACGTCGCCGGGCTGGGTAGGGCTGTAGGAAGTTCACTTCCTCCAACCGGCCGCCTGCCACGGCCACTGCCAAGTCCTCCTCCACAGAGGCATCATCAATGGAATCCACTGCAAGCGGCAGGCCCACCTCTGTCTTGGGCATGTCAGGCGCTGAAAGCTGCATCTGCAGGAGAGAGGGATGTGAGAGGCACAGACATTGTCACGCACTTAGCTCCACCATCACTAATAAACGCTCCCCAAGTGCTTACTCTGTGCTGGGCACTGTGGATACAACAGTGAACAAGAGACAGCCAAGAACACTGCCATCAGGCATTTGCAAAGAGATATCCCATTCCTGTCATTCCCCAGATCATGGACAAACACCCTCTAGCTAGAGAGACACACCACCTTGCCCCCACCGTCATATGAATTCCACATCCCCCCCACCACAAGGCCAGAAAGATTCAGACACTATCCTGTAGCCCTAGCACCAAACGGACATGTCTGCAGATAATCCGGGCAACAGACTCCAATTAAGCCAATCACTGGACCCACACGCCTGTTTCCCCATACACACAACGAGCAAATGAGCACCCCCTCCTGTGTGCCCTCTTCTCAAGGTTAGGACTGCAGGAGCTGCCTAGGGAGATGGGCCATGGAGAGGGGGTGGGGTCCCTACCTTCTTCTGCAGCATCTCCAATCTCTCCTCCTTCAATCGCTGGCGGAGTTTCTCGCGCCGTGCCCGGGCTTGCTCTTGCATAAACTCGGTCAAGGAGAAGCGGTGGCAGGCACTGTGGCGAGGGGCCATGCCCAGAGTACAACCACCACGGCTGGGCACACTGGTGAAGCCTTGGCACCGGGAGAAGTAGAAGACAGTGATGCCATCAAAGGCTACACGGCCTGGGCGTTCCCGGCGAGCCCTCTTTAGGATGGATGGGGCTGGAAAGCAGGCAGAGAAGACCAGGCATTAGCTCTCAGGGAAGTATAGCATAACCTCCAAGAAGACTGTACAGGACTGTCTCTCCCCACACCTCCCCTTCTGTCCACCCACCTTGAGAGAAGAAACATATCAGCGGGGCATAATGGCTCATGACTATAATCTGAGCCCTTTGGGAGGCCAAGGTGAGAGGACTGCCTGAGCCCAGAGTTTCAAGACCAGCCTGGGCAACTTGGCGAGACCTTGTCTCTACAATAAATCAAAAAATTAGCTGAGCGTGGTGGCGCACTCCTGTGGTTCCAGCTACTTGAAAGGCTGAGGAAGGATTGCCCAAGCCTGCAGGTCGAGGCTGCAGTAGCCGTGAGTGTACCACTGCACTCCAGTCTAGGCTACAGAGTGAGACTTTGACTCAAACAAACAAACAAAAAATCTGAATTTAGGAGCCTGCCTGGCTAGGACTGGAGCTGCTAAAACTGAACACACCAATGTCAACACTGGCTTATTGTTATTTACCAGTCCAAATGACAGTATTTGTAAGATTAAACATCTTTCCCATCTTTATTAACAATTTATAGGTCCCTTATAGAGTTTTTTTCAGTTTTTTACATTAATTTGTAGGAGCTCTTATATATTAGAGACAGTAATCATCTAACCTATCTGTACAGGTATTTTAGTCTTATTTATTTTTGTTCATGGCATTTTACAAAATAACTTTTAAGGTTTATGTGATTGAAAATATTAATATTTTCTTTATAGCTTCTGTAACAGCCTTTTGCAACATGCTTACAAAGCCCTTCCCTTTCAAAGTTATTGATGGACCCAGCCTAGACAATATAGCAAGACCTCATCTCTATAAAAAAATAAAATAAAATAATTAGCTTGGCATGGTTGTATGCACCTTGTAGTTCCAGCTACTCGGGAGGCTAAGGTGAAAAAATTACCTGAACCCAGGAAATCAAGGCTGCAGTGAACCATAAGTACATCACTGCACTCTAGTCTGGGAGACAGAGTGAGACCCCAGCTCAAAAAAAAAAAAATCATTGATTAGTAAGCAATGTATTGGTATTTTCATTAGGTTGAACCATAGGAATTACCCTAAGACAGTCGAATGTTGTCAATTCCATATATTTCAACTTAATACATAAATCATGTACCCAGCTACCTTCTAAAAGGTTTTCTGCTTGTGCTGTGAGATTCGATGTGCTAAAAGTCATATTCTTTCTTATGTATAATGCACAGATAGATGCATAGTATGCAAAAAAATAAACAGCGAATGTATGGTATTAAAATGTCATGGGGGTGATTAGGAGGAAAAAAACGCCTAAACAGGCTTCTTGGGGAGTGATAATGAAAAGTAAGGTTGAGAAACACTGTTCTAGGACCATCTTTGTAGTTTGAAATCAGAATTACACAAGCTTGAAAATAACTGGGGGGAAAAAATCCTTTTTTAGTATGTTCAGGCAAAGTCAAACAGCATTTTGACAGGAGAGGGACCGGCTTGACAGGCCCCGTGGCAGAGAAGCGTGGGGCGGGGAACTCCAGCAGTTCCGTTTGTAGGAGGGTAGGGAGCACGCTGGAGAAACGAAACTGGAACAGAAGGGAGGGGCTGGAACGGGAAGGCCCCAGGGACACTCTGAGAAGCTGCATCTTGGACATCATTATCCCAAGGTCAAAGGTGAATCAAGCTGTACCATGGGCACTGAGTGACCACTGTAACACAGGATGTGAACAAGGTAGGGAGAAGGAAAGGAGCCACAGCCATGGGGGCATGACACGACCTCCAGAAGCCAAACAGATTTTGTTGGAGGCCTCCAAATTGCATATTTCAGGAAGGAAGGAGTGTGGTTAGGCTCCCAAGGGAGAGAGGACTCACGGGTGAAACTCTGTGGGCCACAGAAGTCATGGTCGGGCTGGGACGTTTGATTCCAGGGACCCTCCTCATCCAAGTCCCAGGCAGGAGAGACGGAAGAGCTCGGGGAGCAGGAGCGAGAGTGGCAGCCAGAGGAAGAAGAGGAGGAGCAGAACAAGGAGTCGGCCTCATCCAGCTGGTCAAACTTTCTCTTCAGCAGTCCAGTCATGGTGATGCAGGGGGTGCTCTGGGGTCCGGGAACAGACAGCCTGGAATGGGAATGAGAGGCTCTAAGTGGCAGGCTCCCAGCAGCGGGCGTGCTCTCAGCCAGGATCATCATCCCTCCCACTGACTGTCCAAGGCGCCCCAAACCCTGGCCTCAGCCCTCCAGCTCCCCCTGTGGAGCTGTGTGTGTGGGAGTGGGGGGTGGGGGGTGACCTGGTCTCCAGGAAGCTTCTCTGCACAAGACACAGCATCTCCCTCCAAAAGAATGTGCAAATCCACAGCCTGATGCTTTCAAATTCCTACAACCTCTGCCCAAAACTTTCCCAGGAAACCACCAGGCACCTTCCCCACTACCTCCTACAAGCCACCCACACACACATGTATCCACGCCAGCAAGGGCAGGAGGCAGACAAGCCAACAGATGGACTGACAGACCTCAGCTCGGCCTCACTCATTCCCCGACAGGAATCCTGGGGGCTGATTCACTGGCTGGGTGATTCACACGGCTCGCATCTGTGTGCCTTTGTGTGTGTGTGTGTGTGTGTGTGTGTGTGTGTGTGTGTGTGTGTGTGTGTGTGTGTGTGAGAGAGAGAGAGAGAGAGAGAGAAAGAGAGAGAGAGAGAGAGAGAGACCCCATCTGCATGCCCGACAGCCCGCACACTCCTGATACGGTGGCTCTGCTTCCTCCTCCTCCTCTCCTCCAGCACACCCACAGACATGCCACCCCCCACACACAGATGGGGCCATGGGCCCTCGCTCCAGGGCCAGGTAGACCAGGCACTCTGGGGAACAAGCTGGCTTTGACCCTGGCTCCATTCCCACAGGAGTACTCTCCTGAGCCCCTCCCCTCCCCGTGATGGAGCTTCTCAGACTTTCCCTCAGAAACTCCCACCCCACAGGAGAGAAGTCCCCTGGCTCCAGGCCTGACTGTGTGACTAGAGCTGCTCAAGCTGTCTCTTTAATGTCTCATTTGGTCAAAATGTCCAGTGTCTCTCCTCTCTGCAGCTTCCTGACTTAGAATACCCCGGGACACACCACTTTGTCTCTCCTTGGAGGGTTTTAGCTCCACAACCAGAGACTCCCACGGCCAGGATGACCCTATCCAAGTAGAGGGGACTTGGGGCTCCTCTCCCTGAAGGTTTTAGCAAGCAGTAGTCCCTCCCAAGCCCAGGGAACCCCCAAAGGATTCAATCCTAAGGGTTGAGTACAATTACTTTGTCTCTGTTGCTTCAGCTGGGCCCCCAGAGGTCACCAGGAAGAAGGGGAAACGAAGTGGGCCCCAGTGCTGGGGAACCCTTCCCCCACTGCCATCACAGGAAATGAGAGAGAACAGGAAAAACCAACTAGAAGGCTGTCCTGGTCTCCTCCATTCAGGTGTCCTTTCCAAACACCCTTTCCGCCTGTCCCCAGCCTCCCACAACAACTCTGAATCCTGGAGGGTGTGCTGTCACCAATTAACTGGATAAAATTCATCCCAGGGACAGCCTACCCCAGGCAGGCATGAGAGAAGTAAGAAAATTTCCCTCCCTGGCCAATCCCCCACCCCGGGCCTGGGGGAAGAGGACTCACAGATGTTTCCGGGGGCTTCTCAGTGGGTAGTTTCTCAGGCTTGGCACCCCCTCCCAGGGTCAAACCACAAACAAAAACAACAGAGCTCCCAGCTGATCTGCAAGCTCTCCCAGGAGACAGGGGACTCAGGACCTAGAGGCAGGCATACACACTTGTGTGCATATGTGCACAGACCACACGGAAACACACACGTGGACAAACAACACCCACACATCCTGTCCGCATCACAGTCCTGCCTGAAGACACCATCCTTTCCCAAAATCCAGATGCCATCTACAGGGTCCTGAATGCCTTGATTGCAAGCCTCAGCCCAAGACCCCCCGCCACGCCCCAGGCCAATTGCCTGTTTAGTATCTCTGCCTGGCCATCCCCTAGAAACATAAAATTCCGCAGGCCCCAAATCGAACCCCTTGTCTCTGTTCCCCACCCCCCATGCCATCTGTTCCTCTTCCTGTGTTCCCTATCTTAGTAACAGCACCACCACCCACCCAGTCACTCAAGCCAGAAACCTGCAGTCATCCTCAACTCCTTTCTCCCCCTCTCCATCTACATCCAAGCACCCAACCCTGGAAGTTCACATAAATCCATTTAATCCACACAAGGCCAGGCACAGACTCAGAGGGTATCAATCACAAAGGCTGCCTGGTGTTAGTGTTAAGAATTTCGGCTCCAGAACCAGACTGCCTACACTGGAACCCTGGCTCAGCTATTAATTGACTGGGTAATCCTGGGCAAGTTCCTTAACCTCTCTGCCTTTGATTCTTTGTTATAAAACCTCATGGAGTTGGGAGGTTTGCAGGAATCAATACATGTCAAGTTCTTAGAACAAGGATAAGTGCTCACCGAATGTGCTATTCTGCACTGTTAAAAAGAAAAAAAAAAGGAAGAAAAAAGAAGAGGAAAAAAGATCTCCAGCTCCTGGAGATTCACACAACACAGATGAATCTCACAGACGTTGTGAAATAAGCCAGACATAGAATACATGTGAATGAAACTCAAGAAAAGGCAAAACCAATCAGCGATGATACAAATCAGAATAGTGGTTCCCAAAGGAAGGGTGGGGTGAGCACTCAGGGAGGGTCATGAGGGAATTTTCTGAGGGGTCTGGAAAGGTTCTATGTTGATCTGGGTGGTGGTTACATGGGCGTCTAAAACCAAAAATTCATCTAGCTGTGCACATAAGGTTTGTATACGTTATGCAGGTCATTATCGGCTTTTAAAGTTTATTGCCCTTATCATGTCTCTGTCCCCACCGTTGCTTTGTCCCCTGCCTCTGCTCCTACCCTCTCCCCTCAGCCATTCTTGACCCTGCAGCCAGCCAGAATGATCTTCTTAGACCTCACTTCTACCTGCCACACCCGTGCTTAGGAGCACTCCATAGCTCCCCTTGGAGAGCTTGCCCTTCGAATCAAGTGCAGAATTCGGATCGCATCCAAAATTCAAGAGGTTGAAACGGCCGCTTCCCTCTCTCCACATCCCTCACTATGCTCCCAGCTGAACTTGTAGTTCCCCTAATGGCCATGTCCCTGCTCACCTCCTGGCCTTTGACCACACTGGAACAACCTAGCCCCATTTTCAGGAGTCATCTCCAAAGGGGTCTCCTGAATCTCCTATTCCTTCCCCCTGTCTCTCTGGGTACCTGTGGTGGACTGAATATTTGTATCCTACCAAGATCCCCCCTGTGTTGAGGCTGAATCCACAGAGTGATGGTATTTGGAGGTGGGGTCTTCGAGAGGTGAATGAGACCTTACTAGTGCCCTTATGAGACCCAAGAGATAACCTCTCTCTCCACCATGTGAGGACACAGCAAGAAGTCCATGGCTAGCCAGGAAGAGGACTGGCTGGAGCCTCGATCTTGGACTTCCCAATCTCCAGAAGTGTGAAAAATAAATTTCTTTTGTTTAAGCCACTACATCTGTGGTCTTTCTGTTGTAGCAGCCCGGACTCAAACAGCTCCCACAGGCCCTGGATTTCCCCATCACAACCCTTATCTGACCATACTGCAACGGCCTCACTGCCTGTCAGCCTCACACCAGGCTGAGGGCATCTCTGCCTGGCCATCACTGTGCCCATGTCCAGGACAGAGTCTGGCATAGAGAGGGCACCTGACAATGTTAAAGGGAAGAGACTGGCCCTGTATATCCGGTACAGACACAGAGACCATCATTATGCACACGAGGTCGCTGTGGGCAGCTTGTCAGTGTGACCTTCTCCTGCTCTTGTCACAGTTAATTTAAGGAGGGGGGGCTCACATGCCCATCCCCCAGCCTGTGCCAGAAAGTTCAAGCAAGAATACTACTCAAAAGAGGTGGCTTGGAGGACAGGAGAGGGACACTCAGGCTGCAGGCAGGTGCCAGAGTAGACATCTCTGGAAGCACCCTGTTCCCCAAGAGTAAACAGATGGAGAGAGATATCAAGGAAGCAGGCTCAAGCCAGGCACCACGGCTCTGCCTCAAGAGTGCCCACAGAAAGGGGTGAGGGGATTAGGAGACCTTCAAGACCCTTGAGACCGCCAAGGCCACAGACAGGGAAACAGACACAGGAAGTATGGCGGTGCTGCATGTTCTAGTGATGAACCCCTTGCAGACCTGCAGACCTGGAATGAAATGAGAAATCATCTCCTTCCTGATACTTCACTGGGTAGGGAACAGGCAGGAGGTGGCCCAGGATCTCATGTTCCTCTGTCCCACCTAGAAATCCAGAGGCTGAGAGAGGCAAAGGCAGGAGATGAGACAGAAAGACTGAGCCAGAGACAAGAAGAGGCCAAATCAGAAAAAGGAATGAAAGATAGTGAAAGAGTCCAAGAAAAGTGTCAGACAGTGAGTCAGAGGGTGGGGGGCGGGGCCCTCAGCAGCTACCCAGAAATCAAGATCCTGACCGGTGGCACTGTTCCCAGGGTGAGTACAGCCCCTCCTAGGGTCCTGGAGGAAGGAAAAGCAATTCCCAGGAGCTGGCTCGGACAGAAATACCACACCCCCAGGAGCCCCGGAGACGGGCCCTGAATCAAAGAGAAGCAGGCTTCTTCTGGAATCTGACTGAGCCCTGAGAATCAGGCAGGCGCTGACAGCCCAGGACCAGAGGGATGGCCCCCGCCCCCACTCTACTGGCCACAAATATCTACATACTCAGGTCGCACTATGTGAATCCAGGGAAGGTCACTTCGCCCCCAGCACTAAGCAACCAAGCGCTATTTGGGGGAGCGTTGTGGGAGTGCATCTCTGGGCTTCTGAAAAGTCACACCACCTCTTCTGCCCACCTCCACGGTCCCACCAATGCCCCAGGCCCCACCCCATGCTGGTCTTAGGGATGGGGCACCTTTGGCTACCTCATCCCTCCTTCAGGAATCTGAAGAATGTGTCCTTTAACCTCAGAGTCCCAGGCCTCGGCCAGCCCCCTCCTCCCCCCGCAAACACCTGGGGTTACAAGACCCCCGGCCTACAGGAACTACTTCCTGGGAGAAGGGGAGTAGCTCCAAGTCCCTCTGGCCACCACTAAAAAACCAGCCGGGGTAGCCCAGAGAGAAAGACGTGGCAACCCTCCCCCACCTATCCCTGTAAAAGTGATATGGGGGAGGGGACAGTTCCTCTGCTTGTTCTCCAGGGCCTGGCACTGGGTAGGTGCCAAATACAAATGTTTGCTGGCTGCAGGAGGCACTTGCTCCTGCAGAAGGGAAATTGCACCTGACAGTGATTGCTTCCTCCACCTAAAGGGCCCTCTTCACTTTCTCATTCATTCAGTCAACAAATATTTACTGAGTTCCCATAATGTGCCAAGCACGGTGGCAGGCACTTGGGCACACCGGGAGCAGGACCCACATGAATGCTGCCCCCTTGAAGTTCTGAGTGGGAAGAACAGCCAGTGTTGGGTGCTAACACGGAGGGTCAGA